TTAATTAACATTAAATAAAAGTAGATAGCAAGGAAAATATTAAAATTTATTATATACATGTGTACATACAGCTAAATACATATGCAAATCGTAAGCTACAACTTTAAAGGCTATAACTATTATTTGAAGGGAATATGAAGACTGCATTTTCAAAGTAAAAACTCTAATTTGTTTCACCAAACTTAGATTTCGAAGTTAAATAATTATTCAATGCATTTAATATATCTGATAGTAATTTGTGGCCAGTACTATATAATGTATGACCCAATCAATATTGGCTTTAAAATAAATAAATTTGTGAATATTAAAATCTCTTCAAATAAACAGTCCGTTATAGATATTCATGTCTGGAAATCACATATATTTGTTAAATTGTTTATCATGGAATATTGAAAGAAAATGATTTGATATAACAAAACTTTCTGCATTTTATGCAACGATAATATATTTTATAGTGAAAGACAATGTTTAAAAGTAAAAGTTTAATTAATAAACGTTGAAGATTTTATGAAAATCTGGAAACTAAATAAATTGAAAAATATAAAGCTTTTTAGAATGTTTAAATTCTCAGTTTTTCTATAACAACCCGGCAAAAACTTGGCTATGACTTTTACATACAGAACATCATACTTAACAATGACTACTACATACGGTCTGCATTACTCTTTAGTACTCTAATAATTACATCCTTTTAAAATGTAAAGTTAAGAGAAAATATAGTCACTGGTAGCTCCATGAGGTTCAAAACCTGAACTTGTCAACTCGTCTGTTTGCAAACATTGAAGTATTGGTCATAGATCCACAAAAGTATTTATATTCTAAGACGATTTAGCCATGTCCGTCCGTCCGTCTGTCCGTCTGTCTGTTGATAGCACGACAGAGTTCGAATGGAACGAGCTAGAGGGTTGAAATTTTCCACAAATATTCTCTATAGATAAGGTTTGTTTAATATTGAAAATGTTCAATATCGGTCCACGTTTTCGGATAGTTCCCATACAAGTGGACCCCTGAAAAATAGCTTTAACGGGCATATCTGTTTTAAAAGTACAAGTATAGCAGTGAAATTCGATATAAATAGGTTTCATATGAGCCAAAATCTCCCAACCAAATTTTATGATTATCGGTCCTTAATTGACCCTACCCCCCATATAAGATCCCCTTCAGAAAATCACTATAATGCACTGGCTTAAAACTAAGAATATAGCTACGAAATTCGACACACATAAGTATCATATGAGCAAAAATATCTCTACTATATCTTATGTGGATCGGTCCATAATTGACCTTACCCCCATAAAAGGTCCCTTCAAAGAATTACTTTAACGCTCATTACTGGCTTAAAATATGAGTATAGCGATGAAGTTCTACACACATAAAATCTGTCTATCAAATTTTATATGGATCGGTCCATAATTGACCCTACCCCCCCAATATAAGGTCCCCTTCAGAAATTTACTTTAAAATACTTATATACTTAAAAATACGAGTATACCATGACGAGCCAAAATCTCTCTGCCAAATTTTATGTGGATCGGTCTATAATTGACCCTACGCCCATAAAAGGTACCTTCATAGAATTACTTTAACGCTCATTACTGGCTTAAATATACGAGTATAGCGATGAAATTCGACACACTAAGTTCCATGCAAGCCAAAATCTGTCTATCAAATTTTATGATGATCGGTCCATAATTAACCATAACCCCAAATAAGGTCCCCTTCAAAAAATTATTTTAACGCTCATTAGCTAAAAATACGAGTATACCAATGAAATTTAACATAAGTCCTTGACGAGCTAAAATCTGTCTATCAAATTTTATGATGATCGGTCCATAATTGACCCTACTCCCCATATAAGGTCTCCTTCAAAAAATGACTTTAACGCTTATTATTGGCTTAAAAATACGAATGTAGCGATGAAATTGTGCACATACAAGTTTCATGCGAGTCAAAATCTCTCTCCACTAAATTTTATGTGGATCGGTCCATAATTGACTCTACCTCCCATATAAGGCCCCCTCCAGATAATTACTTTAATTACTGGCTTAAAAGTACCAGTATAGAGATGAAATTTGACATAAGTAAGTTTCTTACGAGACAAAACCTAAGAATCTTTTATAGAAACGAAAATCTTCCTACCGAATTTCATGCGGAAAGTGTTGGAAACTTATATTTGAGGTAAACATGTTTTATATGAACCAAAATCGGTCTAAAAAAAATTATGAAAAATTTTATGAAAAAACGGTCAATAATTCTTCTTCTTCTCATATAAGCTACTCTTCAGTAAATTTGATGAGTAATATCACCCTGACGTTTATAGGAGAGTATTCCTTTTCCAGCATACTGTTTGATAGTGGGTATATTAGATTCGGTATAGCCGAATCTAAGACTCTTACTTCTTCATTTTGATTTTTTAGATTCTACACTTTTACACTTTGCTTATAAAACAATGCATTACGAAACATGTTACTTGTAGAATTGCAACCGAAGATTTTGTTGGGTAAGGACAATACATCTGTCGTTTTACATTTAATTCTACTTATTTTTTTAATATGACCAACTGTATGTGCTTGTTTTTAAATTTCCTAGAATACATCATAAAATATATGACAGAAATTATTTCCATTGTAAATCCTCTTTTCCTCTACAACTCCAATATAATTTTTAACACATTGCATATTATACATTGGTATTTTTCAGTATTTATTTCATTTTAGTAAGCATTCAATAATATTTGAATTATGTCTACGTTATTAAAGCAAATGAAAAAATTAAAAGAAACGAAAACATAATTTCAAACATTGGATGTTCTATTTTAAGTTAAAATCAATAAAAGGTTAAAAGGATTTTTCTGCAGCACGTGTTTTCAATGTCGATTTTATAGCCTTCTTTTCTCCAATCACTCTTTTTTTTATATCTTTCGATTATTTTCCTTTTCTAAATGGCTTTAATACTTATTATTGACTGAACTATATTTGATTTGAATGAATTAGTTTTGTATTTTTCCATAGAATATGAGTTCGAAGAATGGGAATTAAAAGTTTGACTTTGTATATTTATTTAAAACAATTGATTTACATTTTTTAAGAAATTTTTATTTCTTTATGTAGGAGAGTGGATATAAAAAAGTAAATCTATTTTAATTTTTTTTTCCACAATCTGAACAATTCAATGTGAAGCAAGTAAACGAATTATATCCAGGTCTGTCCAGAGGTTTAAGATAAAATGTAGTCTGATTTTGTATTAATTTTATTACGATTGCTACTTTTCTAAAAGGAAACCTCATATGGGGATGTTACAAAGGGACCGAATAGGACCCAAGTATAGACTTACTCGTGTTAGTAAGCAGTCTGAAAAACCTAGGGTCAAACAATGACCGATCATCACAAAAACTCAGTGGTGCCAATTTGGAGTGATAGTAGTATATTTGACGTAGTTAAAAAAAACCCAAATCGGAAGGTCAGGTTGTATGGGGCTAAGTAAGTAATGGACCAATTTCAATAATTTTTCAATAAGCATCCTTGTACCGAAAAACACGTATGCTCCAAATTTTATCAAAATATTTTGAAAATTGTGGCCTTTAGCTTGCGCACAAAGTGTATATGGACAGTCAACCATCCAGCCAGTCGGGCAGATGGACAGCCAGCCATGTCTTAATCGACTCAAAAGTGATTCGATCGGTATACTTTAAAATAGGTGTAGGACCACTATTTTTATGCGTTACAAACATCAGCACATCCCCACTATAGTAGTGTAGGGTATGAAAACATAATGTTAACTGAATGTATCATCTTTCAATGTTCAGAAACTCAGTTTCCAGGACGTAATTCCTAAGAGTTTTTCAATCAATGTTGGTGAGAAATGTTATATTTAAATAATATCACTTCTAAGATACGTGGATCTAATTTCGACAAATGCCTAACCTTGGCATATAAAGTGCTCCAGAGTTTTACTGTCCTCACCATATGCTCTACATTCGTCTGAATCCGCACGTCCAATTTTGTATAGCTACGGCAATAATCCTGAGCGTCCATTCTTAATACGTACCATCATACTCAGCCTTGCTCATTTTGAGGAGATTTATCGTCCTGCTCTCATTGGGGTCGTCACCCTACAAGCCTTTCTTATGACGAATTTCGTCACTATGCTGGTCTTATTAAGCTAATTATGTGCGATAAAATTATTTTATGAATGGGACCTTATATGGAGGGGTAGGTTCAAATATGGACCGATACTCATACAATTTGCTACTGAGATTTTTTTCCCCTATAAAACAAAGTTATGTTAAATTTCCTCCCTATACTTTTCTGAAGGGAATCTTATATGGCGGATAGTTTCTATTCAGAACCGATCTTCACACAATTTAGTAGAGACGTTTTTGTTTCCATAAAACTTGTTTATAAAAAATTTCGTTGTAACGCCAGTAATGAGCGTTAAAATCATTTTCTAAAGGGTACCTTATATGGGGAGTGGAGTCAATTATAGACCGATTTCTCGAAAATGTTATTTATACTATGCTCCGGGGATCACTTATAAAAGAACCAAAATCATTTTGTTAATGTTTTTATCGTAATAAGCTACAAATTAGGAATATTTTGACAACTATTTCGAAAAAAATCGGAATAAATAAGTCCATTGTAATGACCCTAAGAAGATCAAAATTAGGAAAATTTTGAGATCCATTTCGATAACATTGAATAGAGACATCGGTATTTTCAATCGCATTCAGAATTTATTTCCTTATTTTCCCATATACGGTTCTACACATCTTTTGAGACAGGTGCCTACAAAAAAGTTTTCCACGGGACACTCTAACATACAAACATAATAGAGTAGTTCAGATTTCTCCATTGAATTTAAACGCCTAATAGTAGTTTATCTGAAACTGACTTTGAACACTTTATATGCATTTGCTGCTCTGTGTAAAGTATGTGTTTTGTTTAAGCTCCAGAGTGTGTGTTAAATACAAATAGGATAAAATGGTACATTTACCTTTAAAGGTATTGATGCCGTTGGAGGTGTATTTGCTGGCATGTTTTTGATGTTATTGTTGCTGTTGATGATGATGATGATTTTGTTATTGCTACAGCTGTTGTTGCCATCATTGAAGTGGATAAACGATGAAGTTGTGATATTGGAATTCCTGTTGTTTTTGCTGTTGCCGTTGTGTCTGTAATTGATGTTGGAAATTTTGGCTTTTTTGTTGGTGGCTCTGGTAAAATGTCACTGTCTGTTTGTAAATCTCCATTGTAAATGTTTTCATTTCCGTTGCTAAAATACTTAAATGTTGTTGATGGGCCGCCGATGCCGTCATGATGTTTTGTTTCATCCCCTGCTCTGCTTCCTACAACACCTGCTTCGCCTGTTCCTGTTGCCGGTGTTTTATGTGCTGTACTGCTGTACGTGTTGAAATCTTGACCATATTCATGATGACGATTAACATGATGTTGCTGCTGTTGTTGTTGTTGCTGCTGTCGATGCTTAAGCTCTTTTTCATGTTGTTGTAAAAGTAGTTTCTGTTGTTGTTTTTGCTTTTGATGTTTTAAATGTTGTTCACGATGTTGGTGCTGATGTTGATGATGTTCTTCCGTTTTATAATCGTAGTATAAAACCGAAGGTAGATTTTCTGGAAAATTAAGTATTTTACTGCTGGACGACCCACTTGAACTGTAATCGTGATTGTTGTTGTGATTATGAGGATGATGATGTTGTTCGAAATGTTCGCTCGTTTTATGTTGTTGCTGTTGTTTGTGATGCTGCTGCTGTTGTTGTTGCTGTTGTTCTTCCTGCTTTTTTTTATTCTGTTCCTTAATTTTCTTATTATGTTTTTCCTCCTCTTGTTGCTGATAGATTTTCTTTTCACCATTTGTTTATTGTGATGGATTTTATGTTGCTCTTGTACGTGCTCCGTCCGCATCAATTGCTCCTTGAGGCCTTCATATTCCTGTTGCATTTCACGTATTTCAGCCGAATCGTCATCATCATACTTGTAGTCTTCATTTGTTTTTGGTTTTTTCATTGGTTTTAAAGTCGTTTTATATGTGGTTTTCGGATTTAATTGCATGCGTGTTGTGGATGATTCTTCAAATGGTGTTGAATAGTCATCATATGTTGTTGAAGCTTTTGCGGATTTTTATCTGAAAATGTACATATATACGGAAATCAGTTTAATTACAGTTCGGTCAGTAAATCAGTAAACAGGAAAACAGCACACACATATACACACAAACAAATATGCTCATTTATATTTAAAGGATGTAGTTAAAGAATGAAAATATGAACTTATAAATATTTAATAACGATTCTGTTACTTTTTTTAGTAAATTGAAAAAATATTATAATTAAGTATGAGACATACATATTCTTATATCCCAAAAATACTAGCATACCCTGGGTGCTTCGCTACCCTAACTTAAATTAAATACATACAAAATTTTGTTTACTTTTATAGAAAATTAAAATTGATCAAATTTGATTAATTTGATTAATGTTTTGATAAAATTGATTAATGTTTCAGTTTTATACGTTCAATATATAGTATTTGAAAAAAGTACTATAAAATACCTCTAATAGATTATCATTTAATACAATTCAAAAAATATTATTTAATGAATGAAAAAGTACCAAAAGTCCCTTTCAGTAGATTCTCATTCACTAAGGTCCCTACATTTAAAATTTTATATTTCTATGTTCAATATCGTAAAAATATCAAAAAGTACCATCGGAAAAACGAAAAAGTACAAAAATCTCTCTCAATAAATTCTCCTTTAATAAGGACCGTGTGTTCCAGTTAACCATTATAAAGAATCTAAAAGGTACAATTTGAAGAATAGAAAAGTACCAAATAGTTCCCACTTACAGAATATTATTCAGTCAAGACCATGTATGTTAAAATTAATGTTCCTAAGTTGAATATTTTAGAAAATTAAAAAAGTACCATTTATGAGCTAAAAAGTACTAAAAAGTTTTCTCTTAAATCTTATTCAAGAGGACCGTATATGTTTAATAATCATGTGTTTTGAATTCATATTAAAGAACATACAAAGAGTATCATTTGAAGAAAGAAAAAGTACCAAAAGTGAAATAAAATTTACTTAAGTGGAAAGTACTTATAAAAAGAGTACAATTTTTTGCCCTTTTCGCTTAGAAATATACTTTTTTGAGAATTAAGTTTACAAAATGTTCCGTATTTAAATCTATATATCACAGATAAAATTCAAACGATTCAAATCTGCATTCATTTGTTCCAGAAAAATAGTGCCTTCAAAAAGTACGAAACAATTTACTCGAATTTGGTCCTATATAGGACTTAGTACTCGAATTCCAAAATAATATACCAACAGCTTATTTTGTGTGAGTAAATAAACTGTTTTTTCAAATTTTATAAAAAAATTTTATAAATTAAATTTCCCGTTTTTGCCATTTTTGGTACTTTTTCCCCAAATGAAATAGCAAAAAATTTTATTACAATAAATATTAGTCCGTAATTTAATAGGAATAATTCAATAAACCGAAAAAGTTTTCTTAATGTGCTAAAAAAAAGTACCATAAATACAGTTTTCTCCCTTTTACACCCAAAAAGGACTGAATTTTAAAAAAGTACGAAACAGGTGTCTCATAATTTTGGGAGATGTATCCAAAATATTTATAAACATTTTATTATGTTAATTAGTTCAAACGTTATAAGGGGCCAAAAAAGGTACCAAAATCACATTTGTTACACATTTTTACCCCTTAAAAGTATGAATTTCAAAAAAGTACCAGACACCCATCTGCTCATTTTAAGAGTAGATACAGGTGCATTTAAATTTTTTCTTGTATCACTAATATTGTGTAAGATAATTAAGAAAATTTTTCCCAAAATCCCTCCTTAGTGGATCTACATAACCAAAAACACATCCACTGTCAAAATTTCATGATTCTTGGTTCAGCCGTTTGGGCTGTGTGATGATGAATCAGTCAGTCAGTAACGCTACTCTTTTAAGCTTCGTTCCCAATGCTTAAGCTTCGTTCCCAATGCTAGAATACTACAATTGGATTTTTTCAATGATATTTTTAATTTGACTAATGAACATACATATATCCCTCATAGACAAAGCCAAAAAACCCCCTTTTCTATACAAACTAAAAAGTCAGTTAATTTAATTTGATGTAATCTTTTAATAAACACATCATGAACTTGTATTTTAATGATTATTACCCCAACAAACTACCTTGTAAATGTATATTGTATCTACGACTGCTTACGAGTTTATCGATGTATAAAATTAACCCTTTTAAAGTAATTTCCATTAAGATTTCTATGCTGTTTTCAACGAAAAACTGAACTTGTGCCAAAATATTTTTAGTTTTTCTTTTTTTTATAAATTTGTTCAAACATTTTTTCATAAACCAAAATCAAAACTTTCAAAACGTGCCTTTCTATGAATGAAGCCCCCCCAAAAAAAAGAATGAAAAAATGAATTGAATGAAAAGCAAGAAGAGTACAAATACAAGTACTTACCACATTTTTCCCACCAACAAAATATTTCACCATCCATGCACAAACAAACCTCACAGTTATCTAGACGTGGTACCTGCGGAGGAAAACAAACCATTAGATGGAATCTCTAAATAGAGTAAAACAAAATATTTACAAGAATGAATTTGGAAAAATAAAAAATATAAGATAAGCAAAACCACCAAAATATGTACAGAACAAATTTTATGTTTGGCAATAAAACAAAATCGAAATGATAATAATCGAAATTGAAACGGAATGCGATTTTAGGAAATAATATTGTTCCCTACGAAAAAATATTACTTTGTTTAGAAAACATTTTCAAAAATCTAGGATGCGAATTGTTTTAGAATCTAACTCCCTAAATTTCATAATCTCAGCATAGTAACAGTGTTTTTTGAAATTTCTGTAATAAGAGTAACGTTGGCCCCAGAATTCTGGTTCCAACAAGCAGTATGCGGCTGTCTCGATTGAGTAACATAACTTGTTTGTAGGTGCCTCCGGTACGTTAATAGGAGGCACGAGTGTGGAAGTCTTATGTTCGATTTCCATAGACTTCCCCCTCGGGCATGTTTCCTTGATGAAAGATCCCATCTTGGTGTATTGCAATCCGGTGGTATAGAGGTGCTACCAGTACCTCTAATCTGCCTGGACTATAAAACTGCTGTGGGTCTAACCAGAAAACCACATAATCTGGTACTACGTGTGGCCAGTTGCCCGCAGGACTATGTCTTGTCTGGTCAATTGGTTGAGGTTCCTTCGGGATCCACGTAGTGGCTGTGGTTAAAACCTAAATTCGCGGGAAAAGTAAGTTGCGGTTAAAAGATGATGAACGGTGAAATATATATTTCGAGATAAGATACCCCACAGAGGAGTGTCTGTCGGACTAAGCATTGGAAATGAGTTGGTGTTAATTGTATATGATACGGGATGAATGTGGGGTATGCGGGCCTCACCCACCCGTTTACCTAGAATAAATGTGTCGTATGTTTTTCACTTATGAATGTGTCGGATGAATGAGAAGTGTGCCTGGGTTGTATGATGATGGATAAAAAGTCCAGACAACCCAAATCAGGCAGAACTTCGGACTAAAGAATGAATGAATTTGCCAGATAATTGAGAAGTATGCTGGATTGAATGACGATGTATGTGAGGTATCTTATACAAATGATACCATTGAATTTTCCTTCCTTGCCCAGATATGTTCAGAGTATACTATGTTCGTATCAGAATTACCACAGTGTGCCACTGTGAGTAAAAACAAAGTCTCGGCTTATTTGATGGATTCGTACTTCGGTCTACCGGTTACGTCTCTAGCTGCTGTTGCCTAATCAACAGAGGTCATCCCATCTGCGTGGTTCTAAACGGATGTGATGTTTTACATCTCGGAAGTTAAGCAAAGGTTCAGCAATGGTCAGAGATTAGTTAGCTCGAACACTTGAGCAAAGTGCTTGTATATGGACCGGCTTTAGCCATGTACAGAAATTACCACCTGATTTCTTCATCGAAGATTGAAGGAGGCGGTGGTGAGGACATCAAGAAGCTCACCCAGCGGTTGAAATAGACCACCGTGAGATAGGCCAACACGGCAGATACTAACGTAAAGCAACTTCAACTTTCCACCAAAGACTCTGGCAAAGGGGGGACCACGAGATAGTGGGGCGTGGTCCCCCCTAACTAACTAACTAACTAACTAACTAACTACTACTAACTAACTAACTACGAACTAACTAACTAACTACTAACTAACTAAACTAACTACTATACTAACTAACTAACTAACTAACTAACTAACTAACTAACTAACTAACTAACTAACTACTAACTACTAACTAACTAACTAACAACTAACTACTAACTAACTAACTAGACTAACTACTACTAACTAACTAACTAACTAACTAACTAACTAACTACTAACAACTAACTAACTAACTACAAACTAACTAACTAACTAACTAACTAACTAACTAACTAACTAACTAACTAACTACGAACTAACTAACTAACTAACTAACTACTAACTAACTAACTACTAACTAACTAACTAACTAACTACTAACTAACGACTAACTAACTAACTAACTAACTAACTAACTAACTAACTAACTAACTAACTAACTAACTACTAACTAACTAACTAACTAACCTAACTAACTAACTAACTAACTAACTAACTACTAACTAACGTAACTAACTAACTAACTAACTAACTAACTAACTACTAACTAACTACTAACTAACTAAACTAACTAACTAACTACTAACCTACTACTAACTAACTAACTACTACTAACCTAACTAACTAACCGAACTAACTAACTAACTAACTAACTAACTAACTAACTAACTAACTAACTAACTAACTACTACTAACTAACTAACTAACTAATACTACTAACTAACTAACTACTAACTACTAACTAACTAACTATAACTAACTAACAACTAACTAACTAAACTAACTAACTAACGAACTAACTACTAACTACTAACTAACTAACTAACTAACTAACTACTACTAACTAACTAACTACTACTAACTAACTAACTAACTACTAACTAACTACTACTAACTAACTAACTAACTAACTAACTAACTACTACTAACTAACTAACGAACTAACTAAACTAACTAACTACTACTAACTAACTAACTAACTAACTACTAACTAACTAACTAACTAACTAACTAACTAATAACTAACTAACTAACTACTAACTAACTAACTAACTAACTAACTAACTAACTACTAACTAACTAACTAACTAACTAACTAACTAACTAACTAACTAACTAACTACTATACTAACTACTAATACTATTAACTAACTACTAACTAACTACTTCGGAAGCGAAATTCCCCTTTCAGGCGATTTCTATTCTCGAAACATGTATGATATTGATTGAGAAACCGGAGCTGTCCGTATTTATATGGCCCGGCGATTCCTCAGCTGTCTATGAAACTATGTCGTATGCCACAAGTGACCTCAAAAATAGTTTTTAATTTAAAAACTGAGTTAATCTCTCTTAATAAAAGTCCCCTCTATATTGTAGGGGTTCTATTCATATCAGTTACCTAGGATATACATAGAAAAAATTAGCTTGAAAATTAGGGCCCTAATTAATTGTAACTTTGCCTTATTTTTTTCGTCAATCTCGTCTGACTGACTTTACCGTTTTGTGTTAGAGGGTCAAAAAAAGAAATTGTTTCACTTGATTGAAAGTCTGACTGGCTGGACCAATCTATGTTATGAGGACATATAAGTTGTTTCACTTCATTTAAATCCTGATTACAACGGAGCTCCTAATAGAAACCGAACATACTTGCACTATTAAATTTAAGGTTCAATAAATCAGAAACCTTAACAACGAACTAACAATAACTAATGAAGTAGCCAAACCCAACTAATTATAAATTTTATATTTAGCTTTAAACAAATACCACAATCCCACTCCTAGCCCCAAATTCTCGTCATTATTTTCAAATACGTAATAAGAATGTTTTCTGAAAAATTATGATAAATTAGAATTTGCTAATCGGATAAAACAAACAAATGAAATAAAATAAAACAACGATTTCCCAACAGCGATGATGAAATTTATTTAAAGTTAATTTACTTGTACGCGTATTTACTTTCGCCGACACAGCTGGACATGTGTTTTTGTTGTGATAAAAAGATTTATTAACTTTACTTTTATGTTTTCTGCTTCCTTTTCTCTTGTTGGGTTTATACAGCAGGAAATAAAATCTTATAATAATTATTCATAACAAAATCCAGAAAATAGGCCAAAATAAACACAGGTGTTTTTTACTTTTTGTGGCAAAACGTTTAGTCTTATTTGTACAAGTCTTAGGAAAAAAAAATTACAGTAAAGAGTTTCCTCTTTGTTTTTGTGTTTTTTTTTTTTTTTGTATCCAATTATTATGTTAATTTATTTTTGTTTGAAAATTTAGGCGAATAATTAGAGAAAACTGGTTTTTTATTAAGAAAGTTTTAAAGAGAAATTTATAATTAAAATACTGGAAAATTTAGAAAATCTGTATCAAATCAAGTGGCATTTTCAAGATTTTTGTTTTGTATATCACTAAGATGTTGCGGGATGTATTGATTTTTATAACCATTGTCAAAAGGATCTTGATTTTGTCATTACTTTTGTAACATATCGAAATATTGGTTGAAAAATCTGGCCATTTTTGTTTGTTAAAAGCTCGATAAGGTTCGAACAAAAAGAGCTAGGGAGTTGAAATTTTATATTTTGGGTCTTTTAAAACTATGGGTTTGTTATACAAATTTACATTTGTGTGTACCTCCCTCCGACTGTTGATAAGCAGACCACAGTAAAAATATGGGCAATGGTTATTTATAAACATATATACTTACATATTTATAAATTATGTTCAAATAATTTTCCATAAATACAAACAATAAAACACCAGTTTTACTTCTGTAAATGTTGACTTTATAAAATATACTATACTAATACATATAACTAAAATTTATATGGGAGAAGGAGGTAAGTAAATGTGGTCAGATTTTCCTTTATAGTTTGTATGAATAGTTTGATAAAATGAAAAATTTAAATTATTTTTTCTTATATTAATGCAACTTCAATGTTAGAGTCATTTTGGCGTGGGGTCATCATCATTGTAACAATAGCTTCAGTGGAGTAATGGTCAAAACAAAATAGTAATTCTCTAAAGCAATCTTTTGTACATACATATGTATATTAGGGTGGCACCGTTTAAATGGAGGAAAAATAAGGTGTCGATGTTCCCAACTAAAATTAAAGTTTAATTGATTATAGGATTGCGTTTCTCAAATTTTTGTTTTGGGGTCAATATTTGGCGAACTGGATCAAAGAATAAAAAGGTCCTTTTTTGAGGTTTTATGATTTTTTTCATATTTCTTCTAAAGGAAAGATATAACATTTTGGTATCATAAGAAAGGTCATTGGGAGACGCTTTCAATGATATATCAGTAAAATTTTCAGGTTTTTTACATTTTAACACAGATAAATTTAATATAATTCGTTGAAATTAATAAACAACTAGCATACCCTGGGTGCTTCGCTACCCTAACTTAAATTCAATACATACAAATTTTTTTTACTTTTATAGAAAATTAAAATTGATTAAACATTTTTTTAATGTTTCAGTTTATATGTTCAGTAGTTTCATTCATTTAGTTTCCACATTATAAAAAATTTCAAAAGTACTATTTGAAAAAAAAATATACTATAAAATACCTCTAATAGATAATCCTTTAATCAAAATGTTATGTTTCTGTGTTCAATATTATATACAATTCAAAAAATATTATTTTAATGAATGATAAGTACCAAAAGTCCCTTTCAGTAGATTCTCATTAACTAAGGTACCTACATTTTAAATTTTATTTTCAATATCTATGTTCAATATCGTAAAAATATCAAAAATTACCATCGGAAAAACGAAAAAGTACAAAAATCTCCCTCAATAAATTCTCATTTAATTAGGACCGTGTGTTCCGATTAACCATTATAAAGAATCTAAAAGGTACCATTTGTAGAATAGAAAAGTACCAAATAGTTCCCGCTTATAGAATATTATTCAGTCAACCCCATGTATGTTAAAAGGTTGAATATTTTATAAAATTAAAAAAGTACCATTTATGAGATAAAAGTACTAAAAAGTTCTCTCTTAAAGAATCTTATTCAATGAGGACCGTGTATGTTTAATAATCATGTGTTTTGAATTCATATTAAAGAACATACAAAGAGTATCATTTGAAGAAAGAAAAAGTACCAAAGTTAAAAAGTACCAAAGTGAAAAAGTACCAAATTTTACCTAAGTGGAAAGTACTAATAAAAAGAGTAAAATTTTTCCCCTTTTTGGTTAGAAATATACTTTTTCGAGAATTAAGTTTACACAATGTTCCGCATTTAAATCTATATATCACAGATAAAACATCAAATCTGCATTCATTTGTTCCAAAAAAATTTTTGCTTTCAAAAAGTACCAAACAATTTACTCGAATTGGTCCTATATAGGCCTTAGTACTCGAATTCCAAAATAATATACCTATAGCTTATTTTGTGTGAGTAAATAAACTACTTTTTCAAATTTTATAAAAATTGGCTCAATGAGTTTGAATAAAATTAAATGTCCCGTTTTTTTCCTTTTTGGTACTTTTTTCCCCAGTGAAATAGTAAAAATTTTATTACAATAAATATTACAGAGTTAGTGCGTAATTTAATACGAATAATTCAATAAACCGAAAAAGTTTTCTTAATGTGTTAAAAAAATACCATAAATACACTTTTCTCCCTTTTACACTCAAAAAGGACTGAATTTTAAAAAAGTACGAAACAGGTGTCTCATAATTTTGGGAGATGTATCCAAAATATTTATAAAAATTTTATTATGTAATTAGTTCAAAAGTTATAAAGGGGCCAAAAAAGGTACCAAAATAACCTTTTTACACATTTTTACCCCTTAAAAGTACGAATTTCAAAAAAGTACCAGACACCCATCTGCTCATTTTAAGAGTAGATACAGGTGCATTTAATTTTTATTTTTTTTTGTATCACTAATATTGTGTAAGATAATTAAGAAAACCTGTTTTACTCGTTTTTCCGCTTTTTACCCGTAAATGTAAAATTTCCAAAAATCCCTCCTCAGTGGATCTACATAACCAAAAACACATCTACTGTCAAAATTTCATGATTCTAGGTTCAGCCGTTTGGGCTGTGCAATGATGAATCAGTCAGTCAGTAACGCTTCTCCTTTATATATAGATAATCCTCAATAAAATCTAGATCAAATTTCATTTAAATTTATCGAAGCCTATGTAAGCTACCAAAACAACAATAACATAGAAACTGTTTTGCAAAGCAAGTATAACAAATAAGTAGATGAATGAGAATGGTGTTAATATTTTAGTTAAACTGAAAAATTTGATTGATAATACAATGAAAGCATAAAGTATTATATATCATTGTAAAGCTTGTAAACGCATATGCTGATGGACATATTAAGTACGTTATATAAATATAGGTAGCAGAAAACCTGGGACAAAATAGAATTTAAAATATTAAAATAAAATACAAAATATATCGAATTTCGAAAAACAGAAAAAAACATTTCAGTGAAATTGTATGAGGTTTATAATGTAATAATTTAAAAAAATTACATTAAATAATTCTGTGTAAAAATTTGAAAAAACTAACAAATTTTCCGAAAAATTACGACATTTGTAATAATTTTGGAGTTTTTTACAAATTTGTGTCATGTCATTGAAATCGTCTCTCAAAGACCTTTCATATGATACTAAATATGGTTTATTTGCCAGAAATATGTAAAAAATCATAAAAAACCTTAAAAAAGGACCTTATTATCCTTTGATCCAGCTCGCCAAATATTGACGTCAGGACAAAAATTTTGAGAAATGGTATCTTAGTATGAACTAAATTTTCATTTTCGGTGAGAACATGAGCAACTTCCATTTCGGGGCCACCCTAATGTATATACATAAATTGCACCTAAAACCACAAGTTGTGGTATGATATTTTTCTATTCAATTTTAAATTAAATTTTTTACATGTAAAACCATTTTCATAAAAATAAAAACCAAACAATAAAAAAACAAAAAGTTCTGTTTTAAATAAGCAATGAATGAGCTTAAAATAAATGTTTCACTAAAATTTATTGTAACGGCAGTGAAATTTGTATAGGGAATAATGATACTGCGATTCCGTTTTTGACTCGTTTTCACATAACAAAAATGTGCGTGTTAAACGGACCTTGAAGATGAAAACATAACAGCATAGGTTAAATCGATAAATAACATGGATCAAATATATGGAAAACTGTGTTTGGAACTAACTTTGGCACTGTGCGCAATATAGCTTATCAATTTGATACCGCCATAGCCTCTTTATATTCCAATGACCGACCATGCATGGCAAGGACTCACACCCTGCACAAGATATATCTGCCGATTCTCAGAAAAACATGGCGGATATAGAGTGAACGCTCGATAAAAACCCTTAATCCCGGTTGTTATCAGTATCGTGAACATGATGATGAATGGCACTACGTTAGCGTGTCTATTACGGTGGACTCCGGACCAGGGTATTGTCCGGTGGTATTTATTGCCCATCTCCAGCAAGGCGCTCAGTTGCATCATGTTCTTCCTTCCCCATTAATATTCTCCTTTTACAGATGGATTTTGAAGAAAACAAAAAACAAATCAATTGTTGGGGGACTCATTCCCTAATTCTACTTAGGTACCTATCCCAACGGTCGAGAAAGATGCGTTACTGGAATCTGTTGCTAACGCGCAATATTTTATCGCACCATTCTCCACAGAAAACTCAGTGGAGCAGCGCGTAGACGTTTAAAAGGCTACATCGAGCACGACATGGACGTCGAGGAGGCACGTATCCAGAGGAAGAGAGGCAGATCACATGGATCGACACCCGAAAAGTCTAACCCTCCGAAACAGGTAGCGGCCTCCACCGGAGTTGGTTCACATGAAGCCGAACCTGCGAACTAACATATAGAAATGTTGCAAAAGTTATCAGACTTGGAATCATTCCACCTAATTTCCCTACGGAGATGTGGTCTGATGAAGAAATTGATACAGTATGGAAGATTGTGGAACCACACAGAACTGGTCCAATTTTAGCTCTGAACATTACATTCTCGTTACTCAACTTCCGAGATGCAAAAACATCTCTTCTGTCTTCAACAATACAGATAGGATGGCCTCTGCTGAGTCGAAAACAGGACCTAGACGTAATCGGCAGATCGAAACACGAATCCAACAAAAGGACGAGAACTAGAAAACTCACAGAGAACAATCTGGTATGAATAAAACAAACCCAAAACATAACTGGACAAGAAAGGAAAATTCAATGGTATCATTTGTGTAAGGTATCTTACATCTATCACCATTTAACCCACCAGTCTTGTTATTCATCCGACACACTGACTCTAGGTATCATATACCCTTGACACCAATTCATTTTCAAACGCCTAGTCCCACAGTCACTGCTCTGTGTCTCGGCAACATCACATAACTTATCCAGAATTATAGACATTATGAACCGTGTATCAGTCTTTTAACCAACATTCTCATCCAGCAAATTCGGGTTTAAACTACAGCCAGTACGTGCACCCCGAAAGGACCTCTCCAATAACCGGGACAAGATAAAATCCGAAACTCTTCCCTGTAGGCTACCGGTTCCCGTACCAGATTATGTGGTTTTCTGGTTCGACCCCATGTCAAATCATTCCAAAGAAAGGCCGAGAATAAGAATTCATTTTTTTCTGTTTAATTAAAACAATATCAAGGAAAGTTCAAACTGTACACAATTTCCATCACTCGCATTCCTTTCATCCAAAACATATTTTCATACAGCAGAATTACTTTTAAATAAATATAAAATTTCGCTACAAAAATGGACATCCAAGCTTGTATTTACTTTACACATATACATAAGTATGTATATAAAGTATGAATGTATGTCTGTACTAGCAATTGGTGTAAAATGAATACTAATTCGAAAATAAATTTGATATATTCTATAGGTACCCATATAAATTTACCTTTTGACCATGTGTATATTTTGGCCATTTGTAAAACATGATGCAGCACGTGGCAAATGTAATTCATCTAATGTTTCGGTAATTGCTGATGTTGATGCAGCAGCTTTTGTAGCCGTTTCCTCCAGCCAATCGTTACGTTCGTCATCATCATCATCATCGTCAGCATTATTAGCACCAACATTCTTTAATGTTTGGCCATCATTACTTTTCAATTTCGTTGTTGTTTTCGAAAGGTATGAAGGACCAGCAGCATTTTGTTTTCTAGTTTCTAAATTATTATTTGTATTGCCATTGCCAGCGATATTTAAACCCTGCGCAGTTACATCCCCACTGCCATAGTTGAGAAAACCCTTTAGATTTTCTAAATGTTGTTGCTGCTGCTGCTCTGTTTGCAACATCTGTTGCGATAACAAACGTGTATCGTATTTAGCTTGAATTTGTTCAGAGTCCAAATCATAGAAACTTTGTTCATGATCATCAAAATACTCGTACGGAACTGTGGAAAGAGACATAAATGGAAAAACATGGTTGCTTATACATACATATTTTTAAAATAACATTAAATTTAAATTAGTGTTTTTTACAGTTCGAGGGTATTTCTATTTTTTCAACATTTTCATTCATTTTATTTGAATTACACTCACTCACCTGCTTGCACCAGTGATGACAATTGTGTTGTTCCAAACATACACGACACACAGCAAATCCATATACAAATGATTCTTTGGAAATTCCACATTTTATTTGTTGAGTTTTGAGTTATTTGTGTTTGTTTTTTAGTTTGATTATATTTTAACTTGGTTTTTTTTTATTATTTGAAAACTTTTAATGTTTCTTGTATATATATTTTTTTATAAAATGATATGATTTCTTTTTTAGATTTTTGCTAAAAGCATTTTTGTTGATGTTGTTTTAAATTCTGGAAAATAAGAAAAATAAATATATTGTAATAAATTTCTACAAATTCATTAGGAAATTAAATTTTATATATATTTTTTTTAATTCTGCATAGATGTACTTTAGGAAATAGTCTTTAAACTAAAGTTCATTAAGAAACAAAATAGGAACCTTAGGATGGAAATTCACAGCTGAGGCACTGGTTAAGGAGCGCACAACAGGCCCGATAGAGGCCTAGGTGTATTTCTTCGGATTTGATGTATATACATCCACCTTTCGAACTAACTAACTAACTAACTAACTAACTAACTACTAACTAACTAACTAACTAACTACTAACTAACTAACTAACTAACTAACTAACTAACTAACTAACTAACTAACTAACTAACTAACTAACTAACTAACTAACTAACTAACTAACTACTAACTAACTAACTAACTAACTAACTAACTAACTAACTAACTAACTACTAACTAACTAACTAACTAACTAACTAACTAACTAACTAACTAACTAACTAACCTAACTAACTAACTAACTACTAACTAACCTAACTAACTAACTAACTAACTAACTAACTAACTAACTAACTAACTAACTACTACTAACTAACTAACTAACTAACTAACTAACTAACTAACTAACTACAACTAACTAACTAACTAACTAACTAACTAACTAACTAACTAACTAACTAACTAACTAACTAACTAACTAACTAACTAACTAACTAACTACTACACTACTAACTACTAACTAACTAACTAACTAACTAACTAACTAACTAACTAACTAACTAACTAACTAACTAACTAACTAACTAACTAACTAACTAACTAACTAACTAACTAACTAACTAACTAACTAACTAACTAACTAACTAACTAACTAACTAACTAACTAACTAACTAACTAACTAACTAACTAACTAACTAACTAACTAACTAACTAACTAACTAACTAACTAACTAACTAACTAACTAACTAACTAACTAACTAACTAACTAACTAACTAACTAACTAACTAACTAACTAACTAACTAACTAACTAACTAACTAACTAACTAACTAACTAACTACTAACTAACTAACTAACTACTAACTAACTAACTAACTAACTAACTAACTAACTAACTAACTAACTAACTAACTAACTAACTAACTAACTAACTAACTAACTACTAACTAACTAACTAACTAACTAACTAACTAACTAACTAACTAACTAACTACTAACTAACTAACTAACTAACTAACTAACTAACTAACTAACTAACTAACTAACTAACTAACTAACTAACTAACTAACTAACTAACTAACTAACTAACTAACTAACTAACTACTAACTAACTAACTAACTAACTAACTAACTAACTAACTAACTAACTAACTAACTAACTAACTAACTAACTAACTAACTACTAACTAACTAACTAACTAACTAACTAACTAACTAACTAACTAACTAACTAACTAACTAACTAACTAACTAACTAACTAACTAACTACTAACTAACTAACTAACTAACTAACTAACTAACTAGCTAACTAACTAACTAACTAACTAACTAACTAACTAACTAACTAACTAACTAACTAACTGTGCCCCGATTTAGTTATATATAGGATGGTAATATCTCAGCTCTTATAGAGCGTAACATTACAACTAACTTCCGCGGTTTTCTGTTGCTAGACAGACTGCTTTAAACTGAGAGATATACATTGAAAACCTATAAACTGAAATATATTGCAGTCTTCTAGGTCATAACACTAGCTTTCAAATGCAAAGCTAGCTGACAAATGCAAAACCGTTCGAGTCAAAAAGCATTGGCAGGGAAATCACACTCAACCACTTAAAATAATGAATATACAAATGTAGGGCCAAAATAATCTTAAAGGGTAAAGCAAACAAAAGGGGAACTAGATGTCTTAGTGGGATCAAGACTGACGTTAGTTTGGTGGTATGTAGACAGGACATCATACCCATCATCTCCAAATTGGACAAGTGGAATTGGACAAATGCAGATCTACCATTCCCAAGCCTTTGTTGAAATTAGACGCAAACTCTTTATTGATCTATGTTAAGGAACTTCGATTGGAAAATTTTGAGGAATTACGTTCTGAATCATCGAAGAAGTGAGATAACTTCATTCGGCAAAAAACGTAAAAAATCCTTTAAAGAAGCGGACAACATGTCCCATCGCGGCATAGGTGTATATTTCATTGATATGATCTTTTCAGAATTCTAATCTTCAACCTAAATTGTATGACATTTCTATCGCTTATTCGCCAATCATGTCCGCCGCTTTGATCAAGGGAATATTAACATAAGTTTAGCCCATCAATTTATCATTAGTTGTAATTTGAATTTCCGCAAAGTAAACAGTTTCACTAAGTCGAGTGCTTAACGTGAACACCTGCCTTGACGGCCTTATTTCACGGTGGTCTTTTTCATCCACTGGGTAGACTAGAGACGGTCTACCACACGCCCCTGAATCCATCAATGAAGAACTCGAGCTATATAATCTCTTGCAAGGAAGAAGCAATCACTGGTATAAAGTCAATAGAAGGTGCGACTATCCCAAGATCAGGTAAAATCCACCTTCCGGTATACCGGAAGATTGACCCTTATGTCATGAAAGATTGCATTATTTAAAATGCAATCCCCATCAACTAATAACCCATTCCAGTGCATTCTTAAGCTCTTGAAGCCCGCGCAACCACACTACTGAGATGGCTTTGTTGATTCGGCAACAGTACCTAGAGACGTATTTGGTCAATTCGAACCCAATAATTGCCCCGACGAGTTGAGGGAACGGACCTCATATATCGCGTAGCATGAAACAATATGAATACTGTTGAGATCTCAACAGCATCGAGAACTTCCCTGAAGTTAAAGGCCTACTAATTCAGTATTAGTCTCCTGTAGTGCAGAGGAGTCCTTCCCGATCGTTCACCACTTACATCAGTTCCATTCTGAGACCATAAAGAACGATCTACGGAATGACTGGCAACTACCAAGTTTTAACCTAAGAATTCCCCAACATATACTGGCGCCCTACTACGCGATGAGTAAGATATACTCAACGGGTTCAGGAATCCAGCATAAGTTGCTCTGTCACATCACCCAGTGGCATCTGTTGAGATGATAACAGCACCGGAGGGAGAATCCAGACATATTTGGCATTTGGATATATCAGTCCTTAAACCAGCATTCTCTTCCCGCAAATTTGGGTATAAACCACAGCCACTACGTGGATCCTGAAGGAACCTCAACCAATTGACCGGTCCTGTGGGCAACCGGCCACCCGTAGTACCAGATGATATGGTACTCTGGTAAAACCCCATGTCAAATCATTCCAAGAAAATGCCGTGGATACATTTGATCATCACCAGTTTATAATCCCGGCAGACTAGAGGTATTGCAATACACCAAGATGGAGTTTTTCAACAAGGAAACATGCCCTGGAAGGGGGGGAGTTTCATTAAGACGGTCGAATGCTCCAGTTGATTTTTACATTAAAACTACTATTACTGAACATAAAACTAGGCATTATTCATATATGTATATGTATGAAAGATGCGTTAGGATTTAGGATCGAATATGAACAGATTCTTTCAAAACAGTGATTATTAATGACACCTGTACGTATACGTGTTAATGTTTTATGGATTTTACAAATATTAAGTATACGTATAGTAGTATGGTAGGAAAAAAAAGGTAAAAAAAATAAATTAAAAAATTTTTTTTTTTCGATTTTGATCTTGAAGATGAAGCTTTTTTGATTTTATATGTTCACAATTTTTGTTCTTTATGACGAGAGCTACAACTTTGTTAATTTGGGGAATTTTTGTTAAATACTATTATTGTAAAAAATATCATTGTAATTAGATAATTATTATATGTTATTGCTTTAAATTAATTGCTAATTTGTTAAACAAATTCTAAAAATAGATAAACTCATTTAATTGGTTTTTTATAAAATATATTTATATAGCTTTAAACATTAAAATTAATGTCTAAAATATTGTAGTTCAAAAACATGCATTTAATTTCATTAACATTAACAATGTAGTAATTGTGCGAAAATTTAAATTGATATTTATTAAATAAATTTTGTGCATTAGGGCAAAACTATTTCGTAAAAAATCGGGATTCTGAAAAAATTTAAGAAAAATTTAGGTTTTCTTTAGCTATAAAAATTTCAAAAATTATAATGAAGCATCTCAAGCCATTTTGCTATATTGAAAGTGTCGTGATATCCTCATTGTTGAAAAGTATATCTGCCACAGCGACCCGTATATACTTTGGTATAAATTAGTACCCATATTTCTTAGACATCTCCTTAATATACTAATACATACAACAAGTAAACAAATATTTATATTTTAGTTTTTGTATAAAAAGCTATTCATATGTATTTAAATATAATTTCGAAATATAAGTGGAGTTGTTCCTGGTACTAGCATAAACATAAACGCTTAAATGAGTTTAGAAATTATGTCAATTACATGCAATCGATTTAAAATTTATGTTTAATAAATATAAACGATTTTCTTTATTGTGTAAAAGTTAAATTAATTTAAATGTTAATGGATATATGGATATGATTATGATAAATGAATATTTCATTTGATAGATTTTAATAAATATGAATACTTAGTTATTAAAAATAAACTCAATTAGAGAGAGAAAGCCATAGGTAAATCATTTAAGTGTAATATTTTTATTTAATAAACACTTCAATTTTCTGCAAACAACCTTTCAATGAATCATTTTAACAAATAATATAAACAAAATATATTTTTTTAGATATGTGACATTCACAACTTGTCATATCGTTAAATCAAAAATTCATGTATCAGTCCATGTACAAGCATATACTCGAGCTATCTAATCTCTGACCATTGCTGCCCCGTTGTTTGCTTTCCGAGATACAAAAACAATACCGTTTATAACCATGCAGATTTTAAGGAATCTGTTGTGTCGGAAACAGCACATAGGGACAAAATCTTT